TTTTATCAGGCAAAGTTTGTGCATATGTGCAGTAGCTTCATATACATGATGAAGTGGAACAGCTCCAGAGGAGTTGTTACACTTTACTGTCTCAATAATCCACATATTTAACAGTCCCTAAATACAGCAGATCATAACACCTCCAAAGGGGTCGTTATGGCTTATCAAGTCAAATCCAAGTGCCTAAAAATGGATTTGATCAATAGACTGTAACATCCCCAAGGGTAAATACTACACATTTTTAAGAATGTACACATTTTGCATACAAACTGTGGTCTATATTAGGATAAATTACGTGGATTCAACTTGTAAAATTTTAATTTAGAAATAAGAAAGGAATAAAAGGCTCATTAGAAGAGGTGCTAAAGTACCATAATTCCCAGGAAGTAGGCAATGACTCATGTCATTTATTTTGGGGTCTAGTTCTGCTTTCCTACTGCAAAAACACAGTTGTCTGAAAATCTACAAAAGAATGAGAACGGAATGTAAACATAAAAATGTTATATTAAATTCTGCTTCCTCTCAGATCTTGAATATGCTTCATGGTAAGTAAATGGAGAGGTGGGGATACATCCTTGGGTCTAGCAAATATGTTGTGATTATTAAGCATCTTTGTCAAAAGTATCTTTGTCAGTGTTTTCATGCTTTATATACAAAAAGATTAGGAATTTTTTTTTAAAAAATGTCAGTTATATTATAAATTATATACCATTTTCAGGTTCACTAAGTCAACACAAATCTTCTAAGCAATCATGGTAGTTTGAAATACTAAAATAAATACAAGTAGCTCTAGCTATGCAAATTTTGCTTAAGTACTCTTTTTTGTTGAAGGTAAACATGGCTTGACTGGAAAATAGTCATATCCTCTAAATAGACTGGATTTTAGTATGATTTTACTTTGGTTTCTATCACATGCCAAAGGCTCTGTAGAGCCTATTTTCTTCATTTTCCTAATTCCCTCTCCTTCTCCAATGTTTCTGTTTACTCTGTGAAACAGCTGACACCATTACCTCTTTCCTTTCTTCAGTCAGGCACACCTGAGTGCTCTATTCCACCTCAGGTGGAGGAGAAAAAGTCAACTCTGTTATAGTGATGTTTTTTGTTTCATGTGCACTGTACTGGTTGAGGCTCAGATAGAGTCAAATATAATTCATTAGTGGTGCTGAGTTTTGGATTTGTGACCAAAACAGCTGATAACCCATGGGACATTTTAGCTATTGCTGAACTGTGCTTCTACAGCAAGACCTTTTCTGGTTTTGATGCTGATCTGCCAGGGTTAGGCTGGGAATGCACAAAGCATTGAGAGGCTATACAGCCAAACCAGCTGACTCCAACTGACCAAAGGGATATTCTACACCATATGAAAGCATTATCAGCTATAAAATCTGGAGGAAGGAGGAGGAAGGAGAAACATTTGGAGTTTTGGCATTTGCCTTCCCATGTAAATCACATGTGCTGAAGGCCTGCTTTCCTGAAAATGGCTAAACATCTGCCTGGCAATGGGAAGTAGTCAATTAATCCTTTGTTTTGCTTTGCTTATGTGCACAGCTTTTGCTATACTTATAAACTATACTAATTGATCCACAATTTTTGTCACTTTTACCCTTCTAATTCTCTTCCCCGTCGCACTGGAGGGGAGTGAGTGAGCAGCAGCTCACAACAGCACACAAGCTGAAATAACTCCTCTGAATGGTATCATCTCAAAAGTGTAGAACTAACCTTAATGTTTCAGCAAATGACAAAGTTGGGCTGTGCCAGAGCGCTTCATGTTTTTGTTTTGGTCTTTCTGATGAGTGAATCTCTGTGAGCACTTTTAAAGCTTTGTAGAGGATTTTTTTTTTTTTTTTTGAACAGCAGAATATGAACAGAGGCAATTTTCAATTCTGTGTCTATAACCAAACACAAAGCTTTCTGAGATTTAAATGACACATTTTCAAAAAGGCCTAAGCCCAGGCTTTGAAGTTATGTACATAATTTTGTGAGCGCAATCATTTGCACAACAGACTATTACCAACTATCTGAACTCGAAGACCAGTAACTGACCAGAACTCAATAGCTTTTTTTAAACCAGCTGCAGGCAATTAATTTGTCATCTTTTTCTGGTGCCAGCTTCCAGCTCCTCATTTCTACAAGTCTAATTACCTGAAGCCAATTTCTGAAAATTTGGTCCTGAAAACACGGGGTTCTGATTCTTCAAAAGAAACCAATCCAAAACTGCAACTATGCTATCAAAGCTTCACTGGGATTATGACAGAAACTGTACACAGCCTTCTTGCATACAATTATTTCAAAATTATGTTTTTCTAATTGAAGTGATCCAGCATTCCTCATCCCCCACCTCCATTTTGACCATCCTGCCCATCATTTTTAGAGTAAAAGTAACATTTCATAGTGTAAAAATTGAAAGGCAGAGGGTGAAGACGGAAGAAAGAGTATTCTAGAATTCTGTTTGTGCAAATGATGCCTCTGGTTTTAATGTATTTTATACTTTCTATAAAATACAAATACATTATCTTAGTATTCATGACTGAATTAATACTTTTATTTTATTTAGGATGAGAGTGGGGATATATCATCATTTAAAATTACTAATTTATATCCTATTCTTTTGTAAACCCTACCTCTTGCAGCTATGGAGAAAAGGTAACAAACACACCAACTTCTTCCTGCCTTAATGACTCTATAGTACCTGCTACAATAAATAAACCCAGTAGGATTATATAAGGTCACTTAGAGACTTAACAACAAATTTTCTTGATGCTGTTTTATTCTTAGGTTTTAAAAGTTGCAAGTGGCAGCATGAAAAGTCTCCTATAAAAATGGCATTTGAGAATGATGTTGTTTGTATCTGTTAAAGAGTTCCAATTCACTCTGCCATATTTTCAAGTAAAATTTTTTTTCCTCAGACTGCCTGATGTACAACCTAAACCTGGAAGCCGTACATCAATCTGTGTTTTGCTAGTAACCAGCACAAAACAGAAATTTCAGATTATTCACTGAAATATTTTTTGATTCTACTTTAAAATGTGAAAGATTAAATAGAACCTTGTTATGTCAAATACAAGACATAAACATGATAGAGTAAATAATCAAGGAACAGACTCAATAAGTAAGTGGATGCCATTTTTATAGTTATTTTTCAAAGTCAAATCAAATGTTAAGAATTCTTTTAATAGCCCTTATAGCATATTAGATATTTTTAAATGTCAAGCCACTGAAACTCATAAAATGTATTTTAAAATAAGCATAATTTTATAAACTCTTAATACTGATATGTGTGACATTTATTTTATTTTTATAACTTGGGTTTTAGTATCCTGCCTCTTGATTAGTTAAGACAAACACTGCCTTTACAATTAGACTGTTGTCTGAATAAGGTCTGCTTCATCAGTTATTAATTTCTATATTTTTTGTAGTATCACCCTGTTTAAATGAGTTTTCTAGTTACAACATTTAAACTAATACTAGCAGAAATAGTACTAGACTCTGAATTTGACCTGGAAAAGTGTTGTTTATCCTGTGTGACAACAATCTAACAAATCTTTCTAATGGACACTAAGCCTTTCTCTTGTTTTGAGTGTTGTAAAAAAATATCAAGCAAAAATATAAAGTGTAGATTAAAAGGTGTTTGTCAATCTTTAATGGGTCTGTTTGTGACATTTCTTTGCCTTTCCATGCCTTGTTACAGCCCACTTACTCCCCAAGAATTCCCTTGTGGGTTGAGAAAAGATCAAAGTATCATTGAATTCATGGTTTAAGTTATAGTTAGTACTCTGTCGAGTCTTATACTCAAACTGGACTAAAAACTCCTGTTAGTCTTTGGACTATAATATATAATGTTCCCTCCCTTACCCAAGAAACAAAGAACCTACCATCTACTATATATATATATATATATATATATATATAAGAGAATTTTTATAGGCATTGAAACTACATGTTGTTTTTTATTTTTTTAGCAAATAGTCTGAAACACTGGTTGTTTTATAGGCTAATAGTGTCAGTTTCCTTTCCATTCACTACTAAATTGCATCATAACTGTTCCTATTTGCCAATGCCTTAGTGATTACTGGGATATGTTTTTCCCTTTCTAGTTAACTGGAATAAGAATTGTGCAGCATAACCACCTCTAGAGAAGCTAACAGAGAAGCATTCTTCATCCAAAGGGCTGCTTTATAGCTCAGCCAATTACCCAATTCACTGTTCACTTGCTCCAGGATACATACAGAGACCTGCTGATGGAGCAGAGCTTGAAGACCTCGGAAAGGCCACAGAACAGGACAACACAGGTACAAAGAAGTTTCCAAGAGTCTTCTTTCTTCTCTGAGTCATCCTTAAAGCAGGTCTGATAGAAACTGTCCCTCACCTTTCAGATATGATCTCAGCTTGCTACTTTGTAGACCAAATCCCATCCTGCTCAGTCCAACGCTGGTCCCATTCTCTCAACACTTTCTCTAATTTGCCCTTTTATTGTAGTGTGCTATTTCATTTCAGTGGAAACTACAGTCAAGATTCAATAAAGAATTTTGATCCCTAATTTTCCATTACAACTGAGAGCCAAATGTACTGTTTTGAGCCTAAATACTTTGTTGCATCTGAATCATAGATTCAAGCACACTCAGATACACAAAATAGCACTGTAATAATCATGCTAGTACATAACTGGCCTTTTCGCCTTATTTATCAATTGAATCATTCTAAAATGCACAATTCAAAATCTAGTGACCGTGAACAATGGTATCTCCAACCAATTTACTCCCCATGTTGCTATATGCATGCTTACAGCTTAATCATATGAGTGCACAGGGCTGTGGTTTTGAATGCTGTCAGGTAAATGAAGAGAAGTTTGTAGCACAGCACTGTGAAGTGACAAGGTGTATTTAACATGAAATCAGAGATGGCTAAAAGCTCTAACAAGAAGTTTCATATAAAAATATAAGAAGCCATTTACAGGGAAGAGAAGAGTGAGTGACAGACAGTGGGGAAATGGGAGACATTACCTTTTCATTCCTGCAGTTGTTTAGACCCATGTTATTCATGGAGGGCAATTTTCCATCAACACCATGAGGCTGTTGTTGCTGCTGCTGTTCCCTTTGGATTTGCTCTCTCATTTTTCGAGCCTCCTGAATGGCTTTCATTACTGTGTCCTGGTCCCCAAATAGGGCAGGTGAATTAAGACTGGAAAGGATATCTATAAACAGAGAACACATTTTATTTAGGTAATTGTCCAAATTGAAATCTGAGGTAAGAACTCACCTCTCATACTCTTAGAGCTGCACACAACTAACATCTGCAGAAGGAGGAGGAGTGGCAATTGTAGTCTGTTTGAAATCTGAATTACTCTACGGAAGTGATTGATAAGCCTGTGAACTTCTTTTGACATTAGAAATATGACCACTGAAGTCTTGGTATAGCCTGATATGGAGGTATCTGAGCATACTCATGGACTCAAAGTTCAAAGTTCTGAGTTTAAGACAACAGTATTATGAACCTTAAACTGGAAGCCTCTGAGGTATTAAATATAAAATGAACAAAGGAGAAAACAATCTCATTTAGCTGGCCATGAAAGTCTATGTCAATTCTTAGAATTTCTTTCTAGAGAGAACCATCAGTCCAGACATTTAGCTTTCCATTTCAGAAAGGGCACTCAGTTACTTTTTGGGGACAAAGTTAGTCATCGCCATAACATGAGTATAAAGCTCTAAATCAGTAGAGAGAAACTAGTCTTGTTTCTATCACTCTGAACAGAAAGAAACTTTTAAACATGCATCAAACTCATGCAAACATTCCTGTTACATCTTAAAATGCATGCATGGAGTATCCCAGAAACTGTTTCTGATTTGAGACCATAAGACAGCCATTATTTTCTGACTGTTTTTTGTTGCTGTGATGAAACTGTGATCTACCTGTTCCTACATGGAAGTATTCAATACTGCATATGGATAGATTCATGCATATATATTCTAGCTAGGAAATTTTGATCAGTCAGAGTTTGTGTGTGACCAGTGCATCTGTCTGACAAGCAAATGAAAAATATTTACACCTTAGGCATATTTATATCTTAGGTAGTAATTTCTCTGGAATGGTCTATGACTTCAAACTGATATGCCACTTTCTAATGTTAGATAATGCAGTGATAGCTGCAAATAAATTGACAGTTAGAATATCTAGCCAATTGCAGAAAGTATCTTTCAGAGATCATGATGTTCCCAAGTGTTTGGGAATGGAAAAAACCCCATAATTTTTATATATTTAATATATGTATTTAATGTATCAGTTCATTATTCACAAGTGTTTCCATATATTTTACAAGTACACTTGAGTTACAGATTGTGAATAAGTGGTCTGTAGTAAGTATTTAGTCACTGTTAAAATGTACTATTTGAACTTTAGGGCTGATCATCCACATTTTGTAGCTCTTGATTCTGTTTCTTGACTGGCTAAGATAGTCTTCATACATAGTTTTCAGACCAATTTTGTTTCAGCACTTAATAGGCCTAAAGAATCTTGAACACAGGTAAAAATATTCCTACTTGTAATCACATAAATTAACAAATTCTTGACAGATTGGTGAACAAATAATAAAAACATGATCAAATAATAATATATACTGGCTGGACTGAAGCCTTTCTGTCTTCGTTTAAAAAAAAATTTAGTATCTAATGAGGCTCTATGTGCATGCAAAGATAGTTTTTTGTTTGTTTACTCCAGAGGTCAAAATTCAAAAGTTAACTTTGCCTGGATACACCCAGTAGTTGTCTCTAGGAAAGATGTTCATACAAACCTCTTTTATAAGTTTTGTGCATGCATATTTATTTACCTACATGTATATATTTGTATGTATGTTTATTTCTTAGGTTATTTATTTATTTGCTATATTTCTTGTAGATAGTCATCTACAAGATGACTATCTTGTCAAGGCAAAACCTTGACATTTAATTGTTCTTTGAACATCTTTACTGTAATTTATTTTTATTTCCATTTTAAACAGAAATGTAGGCCCAAGTATCTACTTTATTCAAAAGTGTGTTCAGGGTGAGATTTCATGCAGAAAACTTGCCTACTTTCTCCTTTCCCCAGGACAGATTAGTTACCTAAAGAGGATCCTCTTCCCAGAGATCCACTGAGCGGGCTGGGGATGCCACTCTTGTTCGTCACTGTCACAGGACTGCTTTTGCTAGCTGGGAAGAGATTCTGTGTTGGAGATGTTGGGGATTTGACAGGTTCAGCTGTTTTGGGTCGGGCTGAAAGATTCAGTGGCTGAGCTGCTTCATCCTGCAAGAGTTTAATGTGAATAATTATTAGGAAAAGACAAATGAACACATCATTTTGCAAGTAGCAGTTACTTTACACCTCGAAGACAATACCACATTCTCCAGCAATAATAACAAAAGAAGCTAATTATCTGCCTCCTTTAAGATTCAACGAAAGGAAACCTCATTAATTTCTCTGTGTTATGCTTCTTATTTACATTAACTATGTGGCTGGATCATTCTTTTTGCCAAATTAAAATCTGAATTAGCTCACATTACAGCTTAATTTCCTAATGTGTTTTCAGAGATCTAAATTAACCTAGGGCATTTACAAAGAATTATTTAAAATTTCCAGCAGCTCAGTAATGCTTTTGCATGGTTCTATTTGAAAAGTTCCTGGCATTATAAAAATAAGTTATGTAGCTTATTTTTAAATGTATTAGAAGCTAAGGAATCAGAAGTACTTCTATGAAAGAATCATTTGGAAAACCTGACAGTTCTTTGGCCCACATTTAGCGCTGCTGCTAACTTATACATTCCATGCATCTTATTCTGTGTGCATGTTTTGTTTAGTAAAATAATCTATGCTCTTCCCTCATATAATAGAAGATAAGAATTTCCCTGAATTCAAATTCCTTTACTTACTAGGGTAATGACTGCATATATATGCATTTCAAAATATATTTTATTTTCTACTATTTAATTTTGTATATTTTACAATATTTTATTATATGTCATGTCTTTTGACAGATTTATGTAAAATCAAGAATATTTTCCACATAAATGCTATTCTGCTTCTTATTTGATACTTCCATTTTATTTCTGTATTCTGTAGTCATTTCTGGTGCATTCAATGTTTAGTGTATTTGTATGTTTTATTTGCATAAAGACAGGGAACATTTTCTAAGGGTATGTAAATCTAGTATCAGCACCTTTATATCTGTTGATACTTTTCATATGCAATTGTGGAATAAATTCTCTCTGACATATATCTTGCTTCTGTGCTGTAGGAGAGTAGGTCCATCTAAAAAATATCTTGACTTTTGGAAGAAGACTTATTCAAGCAATAGATTTCTTTGATCAGTATAGACATTCACAATCCAACCTTCTTCCCACTCTTTGAGCTTGTTCCTTCTGCTTAATACTTTAAGCAAGACAGCAGAGCATTTGGCAAACTGTGAAACAGTGATTTCCCGTAGTCAAAGAGCCCAGTAAGACAGATCTCTCATTTAAATTATGCCCGGAGCAGAATTATGCTGGATATAAGAGAATATCGTCCATATTTTAAAACACTGCACCGATCGCTTCAAAACTTAGAATTATGTCAAAATACAATAATGCACCACATTATCTCATCTTTTCCATTCTCCTTAGTGTCAAGTAGTCATTTAGCAAAGCACATCCAGTCATACACAACACATTAAACGGGAAAATGTAACAAACAGGTATCGATAATGCTATCATATCTCCAGTTTTAAACTTTTCAGATAAAACCGCATAACATTTTAATTCTTCCTGACCTTGCAGTGTGCACAAATGTCCACACCTGTTCGGAGGCCAAGTGAGAGCAAAAACTCAAAGGTACAAGGGGCATAGTCCATTCTTTTGTTTTGGGGCTACATTTACATGTGAGCTGTTTCCTTGCACAGATGCAAAGTGGCTTCAATAAATTTCTGCAAGAGTTCAGAGCCCCATTCAGACTACGAAGTTTGCCAGGCTAGGTACCATGAACATGTTTGCATACAAACCTATGCTACAGTGTTCAATTTTTAAACAATTTTCCATCTAGTACTAGTACAATCATGAAAAACCTCTAAACACTGCCAGAACCTGTTGGTTTGTACTATAGACAGCATTCCCATTTCTGAAAAGCTGGTCACTGACTTAAGAAAAACCTATCATTACTTTTTGAAAGACCTGACTTCTGTAAAAGTACTGCATTAGTTCTATAAATAATGCATGTAGTTTATAGAAACAACTGCTTAAAAACAGAGAAAATGTAGAGGATTTGTTAAGCAATGCATGCCCATCAAAACTGCCATGTCTAACAAAGGTAACAACTTGCAACGACTGAATATAGATACTGCTTTTGTACTAATAATTTCTTCATTAGCCATTTGTATTTGTTCACACAAAGCACTTGTAGTTTATCTTTAATATTTTCAATGAAATAGTGTGCTTAATAAAAATAAGAATAAAAAGGCTTCATTTTTATTAATGTATACTTCAGTCCATTCAAGTCACATTATGTAGGGAAACCCCTAAGAATTTGCATGTGGTCAATTTTGTAATAGGACTCAGCTGGAGTTCATTCCATGAACCTGGAATGGTATTGGCCTTGGTTCAAGAAGATATGTGCTTGAATTTAACCAGGGAAAATTTTACTCATATAGTAAAGGTTTGGTTTGGTGTAGATCCATTTGGCTCACTCACTTACAAAATTACTTTTTCACATTAAAGTAGTCAGTAGTATATTCTCAATACCATAAATCACTGGTGTTAGGTATCACTATACTATGGCAACTTTGCTGAAACAGTTGGGCTTTGCTTTTGGTGGCTTCTGTATTGACGGTAACAAACTCTGCATATGTGGTAAATTTCCCTGACTGCTCTCAAACCTGGCATTGGATTACAAGAGGTAAAACATTAGACTAATACACATCTACAGCTAAGTAAAGTGAACGTTTTGCTAAATAAATGTTAGATCTGGCCATAATGGAATAGTTTTTATTTATTAGTACTCTCAGCCTAGCAAAAAAGTGTCACAGAAATTTATCAGTCCAGGCAGAAATATCTATTCACCCACACTTTACCACAATGATTGATGATAATGAAAAAACAAATGATATTTTACTCTCACGTCAAAACATGGGAAAAAAAAAAAAAAAAAAAAAAAAAGAAGAAACCTTCACTTCAAGTGAGTAAAATCTTCCCAGGCTGGTTTGAGGCTAAGGACTGTGTGCCTGTAAGATGTTAGCAGCCAGCAAAAAAAAAAAGGTATTCCCTCCCTCTCCCCACAAAGTCACTATATGCCATCTCTAGATTTATTTTAATAGTTCTGGATTTATAGCGCCATCATTAAAATTGGTAAAACATGTGAATGTTGATGTTTCTTTACAGTTTGAAGTAAATTGCTTCTGAATTCTGGTCTCATGAAATTCTGAACAACCACAGGAGAGCGCAACAATAGAAGTGAACCAGTTCCACCCAAAGGTACTGGCTGCACCACAGACTTCGCGGGGCACACAATGTTCATTTCAGGCTGCTGGCAAATGCCATGTTGTAGCTGCCTGGTTCCAAGGAAGTGAGAATAAGCAGGCACAAGCATTCAGCAATGGCTCAAAACCAACGAGGAGCAGCCCAGTTGTCAGCAGCTGTGTGAAATCAGCAAAAGTCAAATCAATCTGCAGCGACATAATGTTTTCCCCGGAGTCCTGACTTACATGTTATTTTTATGTGGGGCTTTTCCAAAATTGCAGAATTAAGTACAGCTAGAGATCTGTAAAATAATTAGAAGCCCTACAGTCTCTCTCTTACCCTAACAATATAAGCTAGCACCACATTTTAAGATACTCAAGAGTTCGGTGTGAAACAATTCATGAAATGGACTCCATTTATGCACATTACTAGATTACAAACTGAAATCTTGAAAATATCACATTTTACTGATGAATCTGTTGTGCTGCCTGTGGTAGGAAGAGGGACGCCTGGTATTTTTGGAAACAAGAAGTGAATTCTTTCTCTTCCCTTCTCTATACTGATAATACAGCACTGAAACTGAACTTTTTTATTTGAATATTGAAGAACTGTTAACGTGGTTCAGCTTCCAACTGTTAAACAAAAAAAAAGACTGTTTGATTTCACTGTCCTTTTCAAACACCAGTTATTTTCTTTACTGAAAAATACCTTAACTTGAGTTACCGGGCTGGTCCCTCTCTTCTCATTTTTCATCCCAGTGGGTGAAAGTGCCCCTGTCGTATTTGGTGGCTGTGGAGTAGATGGCATTTTGGCTCCAGGAGAAACTTGCATGCTTGCCAGTTGAGCTGCATACAGTTGCTGGAAGACAAGAAGATATACATATATTCCTGCAAAAATTCCTAAAAAAAGAAGCTGTAAATATACTTTTTTTTTTCCTCTGGTGTTTCTTCTCTTAAAGAAGTTAATAGATCTTTTTTAGCTCTTGTTTGTGGCTTTTCCCTTCTTGTTATTTGAAAAAAAGAGGAAAAAAAAAAAGACTATAAAACACTCAAACACCAATCTCTTTTTTCTTAATTTGACTTTTGCTGACTTTTCTTGATTTCTTTTTTTCCTTCTTGCTAATGATCATGGTATTGAGCAAAAAGTTACACTGTGCCTGAATATTAAACACAAAATCGATAATATTATAAGGCTGTTCATAAAATGGAGGTATAAACCCCTGCCAGAAAAAAAAGTACTCCAGGTCTTTCTATTCTCACCCAGAAATGACCCACACACTCCAGAACCTCTACTGAGAGCTGACATAGGAACAGTTTCCTCCCAAAAGGCAGTGCTGCATCTTCTAGACAGCAATGGAAGTTAAGGTAGGCAACAGGGTATGTCTCCATCTCTGTGTACAGTGATATAACTTCTATAAATGCTAATAAGGAATCTGGGCCTTAAAAATTCCCGTAAATAGTGATGAAAATGCAAAAACTTTCTCGTGGAACTTTTCAAAAAGTTCAATGGAAACATAATAAAAGAAACATAATAAAAGTATATTGAAATAAACAATTCCTACCAATAAAAAGTGTTCACTGAACAAAATCAAATAGGTTTAATTTCTTTCCAGTGACCAAATTTAAACCCTCACCTTGAATTAGCATCATGAGTAATCTTCTACCATAAACAGGGAAGATTCCAATCCCTCTTCTACCCATAGATATATATAAACTTTGCCTTATTAATGAGAAAAAAGCCAGGTGGTTTGTATGCAATTTCCAACATTACTATCATTCAGATGGACAAATAAAAAAATTTACAGTAATCAAAAGCAGGCCTTTCAGCACATGTAATTAAATGAAAGCTTAATAAAGAATAATTTGCAAGAGCCAGATGTGCTTATGTCATAATTGTTGCTTTCTTTGGAACAATTTTTCTAATATAACAAGCCCCCACAGAAATGAAAGTTACACAGTGCTGTAAGCTCAGTGACTCAGTGGCGAGACAAATGTGTGAAGGAGGGGCAGAGTCACAACTCTGGGTGACAAGTGAAAACTCTTGTTTGTTTGTTTCCTTCCACTGTTTTTCAATACCACACAGGGACTACAAAAGGATCACAGATTAACATTTTGAAATCAATGGTGTTTAAATATTTTGGCCAATGTACCACATTTTTCCTACACTGGAAGTCAAAAAATGAAAATAGAAAAAAATTCCCAGCTATTGGTGATGTTTTGGAGAATGAAAATGAAGCCTTTTATACAACAGTAAGTGGTTTTTCCACCTACTACTTGGAACTTATCCCTTTTAGCACATTGTTCAGGTCAGTTTATGCTTGCTTAATAGGATGGTCTGCTTAAATGAGAGTAAAAAGCACATTTCACAAACTTTTGAAATCCTGCACACTCTCAGCTCAGAAATAATCAGGCACTGCACTATGAAAGAGATGACACAATAAACTTGAATACAATTCAAAGATAAAACCCAACAATTACAAAGGCTTTCTCAGCGTTCTGTGTTTTGTCTTTTAATACTTTTTTCTTTTTTTTGAATTAGGAACCTATTTGACATCTTCTTCAACTACCTGAAGGAGATTACTTATATTTTACTAGAAGTATACTAAAACTTTAGTACTTAATATACTTTGTACTTCACTTTCAAGAGTGTGAGAGGAATTCTGTGTAAAAACAAACCCAGGTTTATTAACTGAAGTTCAAAAGAATTTTTTCCTCCCTTCTCAGGTAACCTATGAGGGCAAAAAAAAGTTATTCTTTCTACAGTATTCCATTTTTCTTAGAAGATAGAAGTTGATTGTCAATTATGACAACCAAAACAGTGTGGTGGCTTGACCTAGGCTAGCTGCCAGCTGCCCAGCCAGCCACTCTCCTCCTCCCCCACTTCAACAGGATGAGGGAGAAAACAATATGGAAAGCTCTTGGGTCAAGATAAAGACGGGGAGACCTCTTACCTGTTACCATCATGGGCAAAACCGACTTGGCCTGGGGAGAATTAATTTACTTCCATTTACACTGGATCTGGCTGCTGAGAAACAGCCACCCTGCATCCCATCCACTGCCAGCACTGGGCACCACCCTGGGCTCACATGGCAAGTGGAGCTTGTAGCCCACTTGTAGACAAGTAAGCAAAGATGTGTTTGTGATCTCTAAAAGCTGCAGCCCACGGTGTACCTCCCTCTTGAACAGATATTTCAAGATGAACACAAAGATAAAGATGTGACACTAGTCAGAGTAGGACTTGTCGATGATCTGGTGCCTTGGTCCTGTCAGCATTGGCAACAGAAACACCTACAGCACTTTAAGGGTTACAGAGATAACATCAAGAAAAGTGGGCTGTTCTGGTGACTATCTAGGAAATCGCTTGATTTTGGAAATGCAAAAAGAAAAAGCAGAATAAAATTAGAATTCTTCACCACTCCCCTCCCAGGGTGTTGAGGGCTGTATTGGCTGTTCTGCAAGTCCTGTCAGGGAGAAATGTTTCTAAAGCAAGACAGAGAATAACAGAAATTTTATCATTTATGTATCTCTATGTATGTATAATTCATGACTGGATTATTCCAAGGTCTTAGTACTGGCTTTAGCCTGGCATTTCTATAAAGGCATTTTAAAACATAAAAGCAAAATATAAAAATAAGTAACAGTAATTAGCTTCCTGGTCTGTTTAAAACAAAGCTGTTCTGCAAATGACTGCAAATCTTGCAAGAATTCACACCAATGTTAGGAACATTGCTGTGTGGACTGAGAAGATGTATAACTTTTAAATATCAGTTTGTATGGGAAGCTAGGCAGTCTGGAAAAATGCATGCACAACACCACTGCAGGGACAGAATGGATATTTTTGCAAACACCACTACTATGGCTTAAAATGGTAATTTAGGACCTCACATTGGGATGGTCAGGTTGTGATGCTTTTATTTGCAAGATTAAGGAGAGGAATAAAACCCAAACATTGAATGAATGTTGACTGTTAACTTTTAAGGCTCAAAAGCAAAAGTTTCAATGGAATTTTTTCAATTGACATTCTAACCTACCAACTATTTTACTACTAAGTAAAAAAATTAAACTACCTCAAACACTGAAACATAGCTCCTTTTTGATCTATTTATGGCTATCACATAAAGAGAAGAGCATTTCACAATCCTTTTGCCAACCACTGACTCTCAAGAAGGCTCTTGATTACAAATTAGATATTCAAAACCATCAAGTATTCATGATTGTTTTAAGAAGCCTTAAAAATGTATAGCCTGGTTTTGTTTTTTTAAAGAGGTCACTAAGTTAGATTCTTACAATCCAATTCTCAGCATCTAAATATAAGTAGGGCTGATTTTGAATTACTGAGTGCTCCTGAATAGTTAACAATTTTAAAAACCAGCTTGCTTAAGGTACATGAACAAGGAGGTAGCTTTACAATTTCCAGAACCAGGTTTTTTGTAATGTCATGCTTTGATGCTGAAGAACGGGACTTTGAAATGCCACAAGTCTCAAGGCAATGGCAAGTGAAGTCTCACATTTAAGCACCTATGAACTTACAGGCTCACAGACCTAAGCACTTATTGCTGAAATCTTATGCCAGTTGTAATCAACTAATAATCCAAAAGTTGCAGCTCACTGTGAGTCTGAATGATGTTCATCTACTTTAAAAAATTACCCAACAAGTGGGAAAGTGCTGTACTCGGTGTGTGTACAGAACAGCACAAATGCACACTGATTTTTTTACCTGGAAACAGCAGAGTTCACACTAAGCTTTTGTTACAGCTTAGAGCTACCATTCAAGAAGAACTGAATAACTAACAAATATAATAATCCAGTGGTGATGGTGATGGTGTTTACTGCTTCAGAAATTGGCTATGGAATTGGATTAATGATTTCCATTTCACTTTTCTTATAAAAAGTATTATCCGTGATCTAAAATTTTTTTGAAAAGCTATGAACTAATCATAGCCATTTTGACTGATCCAAATGTAAAATCTTTCTTAATGCCACCTAAGTTTCACAATGCCTTTGTGAGATATTTTCATGACACAGTAGGAAAACTGCCTTTGCTGCCAGTGTTCATTCATGCTTTACCGGAAGACAAAGGCCTTAGGCTCACACATCCCTCCCACAACTTTCAACATTTTTTCAACTTGATTTTTCAACTAGCTTTCAATAATCAAAACACTTTCACTGGCTCAGGCCCCTTTCCTTATAAGTTTTCACTTGCACATAGGCCTGTGACATTCCTGGGCACATTCTCTGGTAAATGACACTGAGCACAGAAAATAAGCACAGAGCAAAGCTTTCTATGCACCAGACATTTCCGTTTCTTTTACAGCAGGAATATTCATACCTGTCTCTTGGGCTGCAGCATCTGTGTCTAAAAGAATGAATTAAAATGAAGAATTCTGAGAATGAAATGTTACAGAAGTGACACATGGTGAGGAAAATAGAATGGGCCTTAAATCGACACAGTTAAGGGTGGTTTGCGCTGACAGCTTGTTAACTTTGTGACAGGCTGTTTTACCACCTAACACAGAATTAGGATTGTCATAGAATCATAGAATCACTAAAGTGGAAAAGACCTCTAAGACCACCAAGTCCAACCATTAGCCTTGCCCTGCCATGTTCACCACTAAACCATGTCCCCAAGTGCCACATTCATATCATAACCTTCTTACAAGGGGCTTGTCAGTGACAGGCCCTATGCAAAAGGTTTTTGTGAGAAGATACAATACAGAGAAAGCGATTAACTTCTGCACAGAAGAGAGACAGTTTCTTCAGATGTAAGATCTCAGGGAGGAAATGGAGAGAACAGTTGCACTCTATACAGGAACAAAAAGTCAAGGGCTAAAGACATTTCAACTGACTGTGCAGTGAGGG